TTCACATGTAAATAATCTAATCACATTTTAAAAATTTAAACCCTCTTTTTACCTTTCAAGATTCAAATTTAAAATTATTAGTTAAACTACACCTTGCCATCTGAGTTGTGTTTGGTAGCAATAAGGACAACTAGATAAGCACTGACTCAGGCAATTGTGCTGAATAACTATTTAAATTATACCATTTTTTTGTTCTATTTTCATCTTTTATTTTAACAAAAATAAAAGTGTATCCCATTAATAATTTGTAGCCCACCCAACAAATTTTCACCAATTTTTCCCTATACTAACTTGATTTATATATCATTTGTTACCATTAGAGTGTCACACCAATTACCATCTGCTATTTAGTTTGCATGTGTTTTATTTTCCTTGCTATTTTAATTAAACTATTATTTGCTATACTTATAGAAAGTTTAAGATGCTTAAACTATGTTTATTATTGTCTGTATAAGTAATTAGATGTTAACTGTTGCAAAACAGCCATTTACAATCATTTAAAGGGAAACTTTTGGTTTCCTGCCTGAAAACTCACCTGCATTCGATCCGTTGTTTTCAAATATCCGCGTACAAACCTCTCACCCCCAACAATTATTCTAACAATGGCATATATGTTTTTTTCAAGAGGAATAAAAATTTGTAATTTTTAAATGTTATAAATGTTCGCAAGGCGTGATTTCCTATGCATTCCAACATGATTTTCAATAAATAAAAATAAACTTTCTTTAATATTTTTATTTTTGCCAAAAGCCTCTGCCCTTCAAAATTTTACCCAGGAGCAACTGAGGCTTCATGTTTGGATTTTAAGTACTTGATCTGCCAAATCTCAACATCACGTCCTCTATCATATTCTCCAATATACTGTGGAACTTGAGAGATGTCTATCCGCTTCCCAACAAAATTAGACGTGCTTACAGACTCAAAACTTTCAATTTCTGCAATAAATTATATACATCAAGCATTGCATATAATGAACAATTATGTGACAATATTTTGGAACGATGATTGGGTGAAACTAATGCAAACTAATATGTGTATGTGCTTACCATCCTCATCCCTAAGATAGCTTCGAAAATGTGAATATCCATTTGCAACAACATCAAGGTCTGAAAGAGAGAAGTTGTAGCGCTTTTCCAGCGCCATGTATAACACCTACAAATAAATGAGGTCAAATAACTAATATTGAATACATGATAGCATTGAAGGGGAGCTCAAACAGATCATGATTGCAACATTCATACTCCACACTCTCCCGAGTAACTATTGCCCCCGCCACTTCCCCTCTTTCTTTCTTCTATTCCGTTAACATTATACCTTCGCTGAACCCCTTGACATTAATCTCTCTAAGGTACTGAAAAATGCATCAGTCAGCTCATCACTATAAATAACATCAGCAGCCACCACCAAAGAAGCATTCTGTACTTCTTCAATTTCTTTAGAAGTCCAAGAATACCTGGGTGATGCATAAAGTGATTATGATGCACACATGATATAAAACTTTAATAAAAAGTATAAAGCACTAGTTATCTATGAAGCACGGACACATTGATACTTATAAATTTCTATAATGTAGGCATGGCAACTCTGGATATATGTGTGTGTGTGTATTGAACAGCATTATGAATTATTTACAGTAGCAATAAAGCTTTATAAAAATATGGACACGTTGTTAAAAAGACATCTCTAACTCATGTTCATCTAAAGATAAATTTAAATAAAGAAGGGAAAACTCAAAACTCACCGTAAAGAGAAAATATAAATGTGAAATAAACTTTTTGTTTGTTTAATGGAGAAATAGAAACTTACACAATAAGTTTCTGACTTTTCAACTTCAAAAAAGTCACTGTCGTTCTCATTAATGTGTTGGAACAGTAAAAAGTGCTTTTAAATTTCACGCTTCAATGGAGTGTCTCGTACATGTAGGGTATTCTATATGGTGTTGGTGCTTCATAGGTAGCTATTGGTCGTGCATAAACAATGGCTTTCAGTAGTTAGAGAGTCAAATTCAAACCCAGAAACAAAAACAAAAGCAATTATTTATTAGAGACTATCCGTCAAAATAATTAACTATACTTTTGAGCGCCAGGAGCCTCTTCTATTTTTGCTTTTGGAGGCCAGCTATTAAACCAATCAAGTTCGCGTACATGAATTTTGGTTTGATAATTCAATAATCCAAAATTAAGCTGAACATTTTTTGCACAGTTGTCAAGTATTTCAGTCCCATAGTCTGAAATAATAATAAGCATAAGATGTCAATTAAAACCGTCAACCTTAAATGAAACAAAAATTTAAAAGAACTAAACAACCCCGGATAATAGTTACTACTATTAATGATGGAAACTGATCCACGTAATTTTCTATATGTAATATTTATGCAATATAATGCCCATTTCTAAACAAGAATATAAATTTTCACCATGATAATTCATAGGAGCTGAATATACTCAAATGAAAGAAGGTACATACCTGTTAGGAACACTGTATTCGCAACACGTGCTAGTAATAAACCCACCAAGCCTGCTTGAAAACTTGAAATCAAAAACATATATTTATAATAACATGATGTCATTTCAAATTTTCAGATTTGATTATTCCTCTTCATAGATCATCAAATTAGTCCTTAGGAGTGTCTCAAAGGGTTTTATAGAATAATCAGCAGTTGGATAACAAAAACACATTCATTGCTTTACTTTTTGCAACGATAACAGCAACTGTTTCTATGTAATCCAGTTTATATTTGCTTCTCTAACTTATGGGAGCTTTTCAATTGTAACATCATGCTGTTAAGACTTTTCAATGGCAAGAATAACAAGCTCTGTTAAGTTTAATATTGGCGTGTATGGAGAAGTTAGATGAGATAAATTTTTAAAAAAACTTATGGTGAATAGGAAGATTTTTTCTCATGCAAGTTTGAGTCATTCTAAATTCTTGTTTCATTTTATCTTCTTCTCATATTACTCTTCGTGAGAAGTTCATTCAAACTAGCTCTAAAAGTCCCAGCAAACGTATTTCTGTGCTGAAGAATTATTATTATGCTAGCCCCACCATATAACCTTTGCCTCCTATTCGTGGGGTTAACATGCAACTCATCCAATGACAGAGAAAAGTGTTAAAAGAAGAGTCTTGAAGAGTATGTTGTTAGCATTTCTCACTTCATAACAAAGCTGTAGCTAATTATTATAAGTCAGAAATGAAGACTGAGGAATCCGGCAGTACATTTCAGTAAACCATCAGTCTTCGGTTTCAACATGTTACAAAGCTTTTCTGACTTGTCTTAGTCAAAAAGAAGGAACTGATAGGAAAAGGCAAGGAGAAATAACAAACCAGTTCCAGCGCCTAGTTCTAATGCAATAACTCCCTGAAGTTCAGAGGAGCATGACTCTTTATGCAATATAAAATCTGACAATACTAGTTCCGCTTTCCAAACCTGAAGGGAATTTGGGGCAAAATAGTAAAAATTAATAATAACAAAATCAAAGAAATGCAAGAATAGAATTGAAAACGAATCAGAATTACCTGCAGGCCAACATTTGGAATTGTCGATGTGATGTTGTGCTGGATTCTGACACTAAAGCTATTACATGAAAATGGGGTATATGCTTTACCAAAAAAAATATTAAATAAATGTCCATGATAACAAACATAGAAAAAGTGAAGGATGAGATGAAATTGAGAGGAAAGAAAAAAAGAAGTTACTGGAGCGTCGCCGAGGGAGAAGAAGGTCACCATCTTGATCTAACTGAAGCTTGTTAGCGTGTAAAGGATTGTGCTGCGAAGGATGAAGGTGTGTGGTGCGAGAAACATCTAATGGAACAATCAGAAAAGTGTAAGAATGATACAAGAGTGATGAATTGAAGGAAAAGAAGAAGAAGGGTTAGGTTACCGGAAAATGAAATGGTGAAAAGGGAAATATAGGATCCGGTGAAATCGGGTGGGCAACCCAGGTGGACCTCGCTCATCACTTCCTCGCCACCCTTCTTTTCCACTTCCGATTCCATTACCCTACCTCCTGCTTCAACCTACGACGTCGTTTGATGCTGTCACGACGGAATCTTGTTTTCAAAAAATTTCAGGATTTCCTGTTTATTTCTTCATATCTCTCAAACGTATATGTAAAAAATTAAATCCGAATTTTTCTCAATTTCTCTTTCAACTTTTATCATCAAATTAACTTTATAACTCCATCATTATGTTATATACGAGTCATAATTAAATCTTAAATAAATCAATTACATACTAATTTTCAATAATGTTGTACAAAAAAAATTATAATTATTTTTAGTCTTCTTTTTTAATTAAATTACTTTATTTTTTTTATCAAATTTATATTATTTGATAAATAATTCAATTCACAACAACATAATCTTTTTCATAATCAATTCACTTAAAGATAAACATCACAAATGTCGAATAACTAAGAGATCTTTAATATCATCAAATGTTTTTTATTTCTCCACGCAGTCTTTTAAAAATCATTCTCACAAGATTATTCTTTTTTTTTTGTAAGATTGTATTATTTTAGTGATAAACTCTTACTTTTCTGCGTTTTAACAAATGATATTACAATAGATTTGAATACAATTTTATAATTCAAAAGTACATATATAAGTAAAATTAATTACTTTCACTTGAATTGATAACAGTAATTAAGTTAATTTCATGATTTTTGTCTTCACATAATAAAAAAGTGTTTTTTTCTAAAATACCTTAAGTTATATTCTCTAGAAAAAATGTTTATATTTAAAGACAAAAATATTTTAAAATAATCATACAAAACAATATTGAGATTATCGAATTTACTTATTGATATTATTATTTATTTTAAAATTTTAAAGAAATAATGTATAAACAATGAAACATCAACTAAGAAATTAAAATTTTATAAAATAAGGAATCATATAAGTATGTTTAATAAATCATTTTATATTTATTTTATTAACTTGGCAATTAGTTCATCCAATAAATAAAGTTGTGATAAAAGATAACAAAATTAGCTTTTTATCTTCATTATCTTATCGGCAAGCTTTGCAGAAACGAGCACCTACGATTGTAGTTGATATTCTGATTTCAATCTTGAAAAGATCCATACACAAATAGAAAGAACTGTCTCTCATGTCTGTATATGGCTACTAAATATTGGATTAGCCTAAGAATGATGAAACAACAAAAAGAAGGAAATAAAATAAAAAATGTGATGCTTGTTAAGCTGGTTGGGTTGTGTTCCTGAGAGCGGCAAGACGAGACGACAGGTCATCATAATCAGGCAGACTAGGATGCACATGCCCCGCTGTCCCCAACATTTGTGGTACTAAGGAAGTAGCTCTTCCATGAACTTTTAATGTTTCCGTCGAATTTGCGTCTTCAGAAGGAAGAGATATTCCTCTCACAAGGGGTACACTTGATTTTTGTTTCCTATGTCCCTTGTCGTATTCTACTCGTTGCATAGGATAAGCTTTTGGATATACTGCTTTTGCTATGCCTGATCCATAAGGAGATTCTTTCTTACTGTAATGCATCAAGAGCCCGTCCATTACCTTTTCTTCATAATCCGTTGAGTCTACCACTTTGTCAGTGCCCCCAGTTTTAGAATCTGAAACACTGTTTTCGTAAAGTGGTGGCTTGAGAGGTCTCCGCCTGACTGATTTCGGTATTTGCTTTTCCGGAACAACTGGTTTATTCAATTTTTCTTTGACGTAAGGAGGTGGGACGAGTTTGTAGGAAAATGAAGATGGCTGCTTAATTGTTTCATTATCTGATACGCTTCCTAATGAACTTGAACAAGCGTTTCGCCCATCCAAGGATGAATTGTCAGAGGTTGTTTCACAGTCCGTGCTGCTTTGCACCCCCCAATACGGATCGCTGATATCCTTCCTTCTTTGTGATAGGATGTCTTTTTCATTTCCTTTTGATGTATGCCAGTTTCTTTCATGTCTCTGTTTGTCAGCGGTACCTAGGTTGTCTATTTTGGGGACAGCGATATCATTGTTCATGCGATCACCATGATCGTTTAGAGGATCGTATTTAGTCTTATCCTGCAACAAGCAGAATGTTTCTGAATAAGTCATCACTAATCAGCAGTATAAGAAATTGTGTTGAGGACACAACTTTTCTATATTGGTGACTAAAAACATTATTCGTATTTTTCCTGAAACAGATGCTAAGATAGAAATAATGAATGATGAGGAAAACTTACTTCAAGTAACAGAGGCGGTGAGTGAAGCCTCTGCTCCAAAGCCTTGCTATCCCATTCTGTGGAGAACTCTCGCGCTAAATCATGCAACAGTTGGATCTTCATTTCTTTCGAAGGAGGAGCTTGCCTCAGTTTGTCAACAAACTAAAGATAAGGAATTATTCAAGTAAGAGGTGGAAAGAAAGATGTCACCACGAAAATAGTTTACGAACTATTAGGGTGGTCCCATTGGTTACCTCTTGACTTATGTAAGGTTCAAGAGTATTCCCAAATTTTGGGGTGAACAACGTTCTGAGCTCGCGTAGTTCCGGCAGATCAGAAAACCTTGCTGCTGCATATATCAATGACTGTATAGCTTCTTTACATTCATCAGGACAATCCCTGTAAAACAAGATTAAAATATTGTCATGAATAATTTGAGCCAATGCCTTGAAGAGAATAAAATATAAACAGTGACTGAGATATGGACATCCCAGTTACATCAAAAGGAAAGCAAGAGTGAATGAAGACCAAAAAGAAAAGAATCTTTTATTGCATACATAGAAAATAATATATACCTCTGCTTACAAAGGTCTCGAACATGACTCGACACGCAATTAGCAAACTTTCCAACGAGTTCATAGCAAAACGACATATTTTGCTCCACGAGAAGCCCCTCAGCCTGCTTTGAGGGTATAAAGTGTTAACAACCAAGCTGACTAATAAATACAACACATACTCAGTTGCTACACATGGTGTACACAACATATCACAATATACAGCAAAATTGAAACAAACTAATGCAAATTTTGTGAGATAATATTATATACAAAAATTATATTTTGAAACAGATTTTTTAAATTTATTTGATACTATTTTTTAAAAAAATCATTATTTTATGATTATTTTATTCTTTTAATATATATTAAATAAATGAAAATGTGTATCACCATTTTTCTACTATGTAACAAATAAACTGAGACGATAATAAATAGCCTAAATACATAAATTATATAACAAATAAAACTGAGACGGTAATAAATAGCCTAAATACATAAAAAAAAAAAAGGTGTAGTCAGATCTAATTAAAATTTTCCTTGACCCAATCACAAAACTCGTTGAAGGAAATACCCCTCAACCTGGATTGTTTTTCAATAGTCTATATCATACGTATTTCTTTCAATATTTGTCAATCAGCAGAATAAGTACTTATTGCGCACTTGTGTATGAAAAAATGGAGATGAGAGTGAGCACTGTAATGAAGAGTGAAGGGAAAATTACCCTTCCATATGCATTGTAATCAAGGGCATTCCTAAGAAGGTCGACGATGTCTTTCTTAAGAAATTTCTCCACCGCTTTCCTTTTCTTCCCTATCGTCTCCAACCTCGTATTTATTAACTTCAACCGTGATTTGCTGTTCCAAATTTAATTCCATTGATATTATTCTAAAAATATTCCAAAACCAGTAAAAGACAAAAAGAAATGAAAGGAGAGAAGCAGACAAGAATCATTACCACTTTGAATAGAATTTCGGTTTGAACAATGCATCCAACATATTCACTCATGATTATCCGGATATATCGAGCTGAGGAAAAATGAAAACAGGTTCGAAACGGTTCAGACGAAGAACAATGGTCTGAAATATCAGAGGAAGAAGCAGAAACGGTAATGCAGAGATTCTCGTGAGGAATGTAAGAAAAAACAAACGAAAAAAGAGAAAAGAAGAAGACCTATTAGTTTCTTGATGAGCAAGAAAGAGTGTCCGAGAAAAGCGTGAAAAAAGGAAGCAATGAAAACGTTTGCGAAATGGATAACGAGAAACAGAGGAAATGGTGCGGTGCAGCGGCTGGATTTGAGAAAGAGAGAGAGAGAAAAGTCTACGAATTCGCAGCGAGAAGCGGCAGATGAAACGAGAGAAAAGAGAGAGAGAGGGTGTGATGTTGGAGTTGGAGAGCACGTTTATGCCACCTATGGGACTGTTATTTCCACCAGCAAAAAAGATAAAGATAAAAAGATAAAAAAAAAAAATTAATAAAAAAAAAAAAAAAATATCTTAAAATGATATTTGCATTGCAAAATTTTATCTTAAAATATTTAATAATCAGCAGCTTAATTTTTAATATAAGTTCGGGGATTCACTATATATATAAAAAATAAATTATACTGTACCTTTTTATTATTGGATTATTCTTTAAAAAAATGTATGATTTAATTTGTACCGTCTAAGATTGTAGACTCCATGCGACGAATCTTGCAGCAGACAGTCAAAAGCTGGACAGAGTTTATTCGTCAATTTTTTTAAATGAAAAAAACAATAAAATTGCGAAATTTGACAATTGGCAGTTGAGTGAAAAGTTTACTTGCTGGCAAACGAAAAAGTTAGGAACTAACTATAAATAAATAAGGATCGAGTTATTTAATATCCCGATCGCTTTATAATATTCACTTTATTATTTTATAAAAGACTTGATCGTATTTTAAATTTTTTAGATATCGTATGTAGGAAGAATATCGCAGTGAGCCTAATTTTATGGTAATATATTTTTTTAGATTTTAATTGCGTTGGCTAATTTTTCAATGACATTTTCTATACCTAAAAATTCAATTGTGATAAAGAAAATCGAAAAT